CCGCAGCGGGGGCGCCCCGCCCCCCGGGCGCCCGACGTGGACGCGGCCGCCGCCGCCGCCGCCGCGCGGGAGTCGCTGTCCGCGGAGCCGACATGCAGGCGGCGCGGGGCGGCGCGGGGCGGCCGGGCCGGGCGGGCCGCGGGCCAGAGCGGGAGCGCGAGCGGCCGCCGGGCACCGGAGCCGCGTCCCCCTGCGCCGCCCCGGACCGGCCGGCCGGAGGAGCCGCTATGCACCCGGGGCCGCCGTGCGCCTGGCAGCCCCGCGCCGCGCTCCGCCTGTGGCTGGGCTGCGTCTGCTTCGCGCTGGTGCAGGCGGGTAAGGGGGCCCCGGGCAGGGGCCGGGGGCAGGGCGGCGGGGCAGCCTCCTCTCCAGGTCCTATCACCTGGGAGTCCTCGGTTCTCTTCCTGCTCCCGAGGGACCTCCTGACTCACCTGCTCACTGCTCCCTAACCCGACCCCCGCGCTTCCCTACCTTCGTGACCCCAGACTCGTCCTTCAGCCTCCAAACCCTGCCCATGACCTCAGCCCTGGGTTTTTAGAGTCTTGTGACCCCTGATATCTTAATCCCATCCCCTGACTCCAGGTCTTTGCCTCAGGTTCTCTTTTTCTGGCCCAGGGAGCAGCTGAGGACACCAGTCCTCCCAGTTTGGGCCTCCTTCCCTGTCCTCAAAGACCTCTCAAAGCCCCACAGGACAACTCCACACATTCCTTGTGCAAGAGAATGTGTGATGGGAATGGAGACTGGCACCTGGGGGTGCAGGGTGGGTGAGGGTGGCCCCCAAGCCTGGTGCAGTGGCTGGCTCAGCCCCTGGGGCCCAGCCTCTCCTGACAGGTCTCTGTCCCTTCTGGTTGCGGCTGCCTCTGCCCATCTATCTGTCCATGGCTCAGCGCACTTGCTCTGCGGTCTCTGTTTCTAACCTTCCACTTGTCTGCTCTCTGTTGTTCTGTGTCTGCCGCCACCTGTCTGTGTCCTTCTGTCCCTTTCCATCTTCATGTCTGGCCTAGCTCCTGGGTCTCAAGTCCATTCATCTGTGGGGTGAGGGGTTACTGCTCAGGCCCATGTCTTCCTCTTGCAGCAGCTACCTCTTCGGAGATGGACTTGTATGACTCCACTCCCCTCTTCTGGAAGGTTCTTCCTGACCTGACCCCCAATCCCCAACATTCTCCCTCTTGCTCTCTTGACTGATAACCCATTCATCCTCTCACCCAGAAGGCCTTGCCCTGTCCTCTCTTCACTGAAGGGCTCTGCTCTGAGTGCCCCATATTCTCCAGCTCTTTCCCTCCCACCCGCCCCTTGGGGGGTTGGTGGAGTGTGGAGAAGAGACTCATGAAGACCCCTTCCCAAGTTGCATGCTGCCCAGTTCATCACCACAATTCTGGGGGTTTCCTCTGTTGCCCTTCCCTCCCATCCCAGAGTTCAGTCCACCAGGCTCTTCTCAACCTCTGGGTCTTTCTCCTTCCCTCAAGGTCACTCACTTGACAGTGCAGGACTATAGAAAGAGCACTGGACTCGGAGTCCTTTTGACTGCTTTTCATCAAACTAATCTTCAGCTTCTGCAACCCTAGTCATTTGTCCCCTTCATGCCTGTCCCCCAGACTTTAACCATCCATGCATTAAATCTGACTCTGGCCCAGGCCCATTAATTTTTTACGTGGGCCCCTAGTGGGGCTGGCCTAGGGTCAACAGGGGCTTTCATCCTACACACAAAGAGCCTGGAACTGCTTCCTTTCCCTATGACATGGCCTTCCCCAGGATTCCCCTTCTCACTTATAAAACTGGGACTAGGCAACACAAGCAGGGGACACTCAGGCTCACGTGCCTCCCTGCCCTGCAGATAGCCCCTCAGCCCCAGTGAATGTCACCGTCAGACATCTCAAAGCCAATTCTGCAGTTGTCAGCTGGGACGTCCTGGAAGATGAGGTTGTCATCGGGTTTGCCATCTCTCAGCAGGTAACTCTTGAAGGTCCTTGGGAGGGAAGGACACATCAAGATAATGACTACTAGAAATGGAGGATGGTGGGGTAAAGAAATAGAAAGGAAAAAGAAATGCAGAGCAAGAGAGGCTGTCAACACATACGTTCGTTGCACATGTGACTGGAAATTGGGGCCCTGAGGGAATTCATTAGTGGGGAAGGGTTCAGGAGCTTTCAGCTGGGACATGGAATTCAGAGCATGGATCTGATCTCAGAACCACCAGTGTTTAGGACCTGGCTCCAATTTTCACTAGGTGTATGGTCTTGGGCAACTTCTCTAATCTCTCTGAAGATGTTTCCTTAAATATACAATGGATTTTGTGAGAGACGGGGTCTGGTCAGAGCCCCCCAACGTTACCTGAAGTGACAGGATGATTGTGTTAAGTATAGGATTTGTCACTACTGGGAGGTAGACAGAAACAAGGTTGGTGTCTGGGCATTGAGAGATGGCTGGTGCTCACTTTTGCAGAAGAAAGACGTGCGGATGCTGCGCTTCATCCAGGAAGTAAACACCACCACTCGCTCCTGTGCCCTTTGGGACCTAGAGGAAGATACCGAGTACATTGTGCATGTGCAGGCCATCTCCATCCAGGGCCAGAGCCCGGCTAGTGAGCCTGTGCTCTTCAAGACTCCAAGAGAGGCTGAGAAGATGGCCTCCAAGAACAAAGGCAGGCCTGGGGCATGTTGGAGGAGCAGGGAGGGGGCAACTGGGGCCAGAACAGCAGGTGGCATGAGGAAAGCACCCTCTCCCCAGTCCTCTCCTTGTCCCTGCCACCAAGTAAAGCAGCATCTGAGAGGGAGAAGGTTCACTCTAGTTCTCCAGGACACTGGGTACATAAACTCTCACCTTTGGATAAAGCCTTATTGCTGCCAACCCAAGCAGACATCAGTGTGTCTCCAGGTCTCTTTATGTTAGGTGTGAGGGCACCTATACACATAAGTACTTATTGACAAGGTCTTGGCCCTAGAGTAGTGATTGGGGGAGGGAGGAGCCCCAGACTAGTGTCTCTTTCTCTACAGATGAGGTGACCATGAAAGAGATGGGGAGGAACCAACAGCTGAGGACAGGCGAGGTGCTGATCATCGTCGTGGTCCTGTTCATGTGGGCAGGTGAGTCAGGCCTCCAAGCCTTTCTCATCTTTGGGATATCTGGGGGTTGTAACCAGATTCCTTCTTTCACAAAACCAAGGGTAAAGGGCTTGGAGAGATCTAAGAAAAGAGTGAAAAGTTTCTTGCGTCCTGCCTGAGATAGCTCTGGGGACCAAATCTGACCCCTTCTCTAATCCACTTATCCAAAACAGCACATTACTAGCTGCCTTCTAGCTCCTGTACGTTTGGGGCATGGCTGTAGCCTCTCCTTCCTCTTCTGAGTAGCTGGGCCTCCAGGGGCTTCAGGCCTGGTCAGCCCAGGGGAAGCACTGCCCAGCCTCAGGCTTGAGACCCTCTCCTCACCTGCCTGTCCTTCTAGACCCAGCTTGGGGCCTGCCACTATGGAAACTCCCCCATCCACCCACTGGATGGCCTCCTGCCTTTGTGCTACTGCAGCATACTGTCCTCCCCTTTAACCCTCCTTATGTTGGGCTCAAGGCTCTCTCTTCCCCACCTGATGCTGGTCTATGAGCTCCCTAAGGGTAAAGTCCAAGTGTCCTTCATCTTTTTTTTTCTCCTTTCTTTCTTTTTTTTTTTTTTTTTTTTTTGTGTGTGGTGCTGGGGATTGAACCCAGGGCCTTGTGCATGCAAGGCAAGCACTCTACCAACTGAGCCATATCCCCAGCCCAAAGTGTCCTTCATCTTTGAAATCAACTCAACTGACATTTAACTGACCGAACACCCCATTCCAAAGAGTAGTGTTACAGTCAGAACCAAGAAGAGCCCTGTGCCCGCAAGGAACTCAGTCTGGGAGAAGCCAGGCCCAAACTTAACTATAATTCAATGTGTGATGAGTGCAACAATAATACCAAGGATGGGGGCAGAGGAGAGGGAATTAATTCTGGAGCTAGGAGTAGAAATCAAGAAAAACAGAGCGGAGATAACATTGGAGTTGAACTTTGAAGGAAGAACAGGTGCTCACCAGGCAGCCAGAAGAGGAAGGGAGTCCTGGGCATGATGTAGTCAAGAAACAAATTAAGCTCAGTCTGGCCCACTGTGGCTGTGACCTAGGAGAGAAGGCAGAGTGTGGGGGAGTAAAGCTCAGTAAGTCTTTGGAGTCTTCTGAGAAATTTGAACACGTTGCTAAAGCCTGAATTACATGGTAGTTGAGAGGACATGCTCTGCTGAGAAAGCATTGGGGGGAAAAATGATCCTCAGGGCATGTAGAGAACAGGCACTTGGGACAGAAAGCAGGAAAAACAAAGGGTTGTACAAAAGAGGAGGTTTGCTTGTAGCACATTATTAGATTTGGCACCCATAGTATTTACATAATCATAACACCATAAGCATAGTGAATTAACCCAGAATTGTGGTGTAATTCTGTTAGGAGATGGAGAAGGAAATAGAGGGAGTTATTAGGCTTAATCTACTATGATGGGAAGTCAATGGATATTTAAAATAGATCATGAAATAACACTATAAATTCAGAGGTAAAAATGGGAAAAACATCTAGAATTGGAGTTGGTTGCCTTAATACTATCTTTCAAAAACTAGTGTTCACATATTTCTGACTTGATAAAACTAGACATTTAACAGGCCCTGGAGTTCCTCTCCCAGATGCACCGTGGTGTGATAATAATAGGTATCCTTGAGTTGTAAGGACTAAGTGAAGCTGCATGTGTCTGTACACAGCACAGGGCCAGGCACATGCTCAACAAGTGCTGTTATTGTTTTGTTTTCCCCTAAAGGAAAAGGGAGCTGCCAGAGGTTTACAGGAAGGGCGGGGAGGAGGCATGATCAGGTACATGCTGTAGGAAGATCTGCCCAACAGCAGCAAGAGGGACGGCTGGTGAGAGGAAGGTGGAAACAGGAGCTGGAGGCAGGCTCCAGCAGTGGAGCAGGGGAGGCCATCTGGAACAATGTTGGCAAGCCCTGATGAGGATGAAGCACGAGGCATGGCAAGTACTCAGCCCTGGCCTCTGACGGCTCCCGCGTGTCCTCCCTAGGTGTCATTGCCCTCTTCTGCCGCCAGTATGATATTATTAAGGACAACGAACCAAATAACAACAAAGAAAAAACCAAGAGTGCGTCAGAAACCAGCACACCAGAGCACCAGGGCGGCGGTCTCCTCCGCAGCAAGGTGAGGGCCAGTCCTGGGCGGCTGGGAGGGTGGCTCCATGCCTTGTGTGCTGGTAGTCCCTGGACTGCAAAAGGGGTCAGCTCAGGGCCTGGCATGGCTGCAGCTGGGCAAAGCCAAGCTTGGCCACTGCCTGTGTGACACGTGACACTGCAAATTGATTTTGGATCCTCTCCTTTTGCAGGATGCCAGGGACCAGTAGTGATTAAAAAAAAAAAAAAGAAAGAAAGAAAAGGCGGTGGGGGGTGGAGTTCCTGGTTGGTGTGGGGCCGTGAGGGTAGGAATGCTGTACTCATTTTCATTCCTGCCATGCTACGTGTCTTGGGCAGGTGTTTACCGCTGTACTTTCATTTCCTCTTCTGTAAAACAGATATGAAACCTTTTCAGTGCTTGCTCTGAGCAGCTCAGAAGAAAGACATTAGAGAATGTGAGAGGATTTCATGGTTCTGACGATGATTAGCCAACAAACATCTGGCCCTCTCTGCATCTCCTTCTTCTTCCATCTCCTTGTATCCTCGGGCTTACTGTCCTCTCTCTTGGCTTCTCTCTTTCTGGCGCCTTTTCCTGAAGCCTCTTATTAACTCCCATCTCCAGAAGCACCTCAACAATGTCCGTGGCTGAGGCTGTGCCCAGAGGCAGATCTGCAGGATGTGAGAGAACCCGCCAGAGGGATGACTCTGCTGGGGTAGACTGGGTACCAGGGCAAGAGGCCCGGATTCAGTCTTGGCCACTCAGCTGAGTTTGAAAAGGCAGAGAAACAAGACTTACAGGCAGGGCTACTCTTTTCTTTCCACAAGGGACAAGAGCCTGATTTTTTAGGCTGTAATCCTGCTACTCCATTCCTCCTTCTGTCCTCTCTGTTTCCCACCTTTCAAGAAGTCTATTCAATCAGTTTTGGCCGCTTCTCTCATTTTTTCCCTCCCAGTTTCCAAACAAGTCCTCAGTGAACATCATCGAAGCATGACTGCCTGTCTGCAGGGAGAAGGATTTCATTTTTCTTCTCTGCTGGTCCCTGGGTCCTGGGCACAGAGAGAGAACTGACCGCAGCAAGGGAGGAGGCACAGTTCTTCCTCTTCCCCATCTTAGTCTGATGACAGAGGCTGAACTACAAACCCAAATTCTGCAAAAAAATAAATAAAATAAATAATAATAATAATAAATAAATAAATAAGTAAATAATAAGCCACAAAACTAAAAGGCCTGGCCCCATCCTGGGAAAGGAAAAACTGCATGAGACACAGCCTTCTGCCTCCTCTCCTCTCCTGGACTGGCTTCCTCTTTGAGAAAATGCACAAAACCCTGGGAGATGACAAGTACCAAGACTGACTCAAGCTGTGTCTTTCAGACCAAGGCGCATCAGGGAAGCCATAGGGCTGCCATCAAGCCTTTTCTGGATCCAGCCATCAAGGACTTGTTTGTGGTGTGATGCACACCCTTGTGAGTGTGTTTAAGAGGTCACCTGCTAGGTCTCTTTTGGGAAAAAAAAAATCAAAAACTGGAGGGTACCACTCCAGAGGGCAGAGGTTTCTCCCAAGGTCTGAGCTCGTTGCCTGCATCCTATTTTCTTTGACCCTTCCTTTGATGGTAAGATCATCAGCTGGGGTCTGAAGAAGACCTGGAAGGTACTTACTGGCCCTGTCTTTTTTAGCAAGCATCTCTTGGGAGTTTCAGCAGTGCTGGCTTGGACAACTGAAAAAGCACATCCATGTCCTGCATCCTGGGGGCTGCTGAGCCACCCACTGTAGAACGGTAGCTGCTAGAAGACAGGCACGAGCCATTCACCATAGACAGAAAGAGCAGCCTGGCTGTCACTACTGGCCTCCGGGGTCTTCATATCTTGCCATCTCATCCAAGGTTCTGTGAAAGTTACCCAGGGTCCTCATGTCCTTCCCTAGAGCCTGAGTGGTGTAAGGTGACAGGTCTCTCCACTGCCCCTTACTGGTTTTTAAAAAACAAAAAAATGGTGCTTGATGAGGGAACCACACTCTTCCCTGGGACTGACACATTATGGCTACCAAATGCTTGCATAGGAAGAGGCGAACTGTGCATCTTCCGCTGGTGGCCAAGGCAAGGATGTGGAAGGTTGTGCCTAACACAAGCCTGACACACAGCAAGTACTCAGTAAAAATATGTTGCACTGACTGGTAAGAGCACCGGCCTCCTCCAAGCCAGAGAGCTGAAAGCCATCACCCAGTGACCACCTCTTCCTTTCAGTCTACAAGAGTTCTCAAGGCTGGGTCAGCCAGCACTCTGCTTTGGAGTGTGGCAGCACAGGAGTGGAGAGACAGGAGAATGGGCAGATGTCAGCAATACTAAGGGCTTCCTCCTGGGAGGGCATGGGGCTCCACTCATCGTCTTGTGACTTCCATCCCTGCTGAGTGGGGAGCAAGGCTCCTTAAGGGAGAGGTCCTTACCTCTGATCCAGTTAGAGCAATAATCACTTTTTAAATGTAAAATAAAAAGACAAATGAAAAGGCACATCCTTGTCTTCTGGTAAATGCCCAAATGTTGCCCTCTTTTTCTGGCAATTGGCAGCAAGTCAGGATGTGTGGAGGAGGGAATCAGTTCTCTCTTCCATTTTGGCCTGCAGCTTCTTAGGGACATGCCTGCCAGCCAAGCTGGAGTTGGAAGGGAATTCTTGAACAGATGGGGGTGCACGTGTAGGAGAAGAAAATAGCTGCTCTATCATCCTCTTTCTGAGGCTCCCCCAAGCCCAGCTTGGGCTGCCTCACTGCATAGGTATGCAGGCTGGTGCTCTGTTTTAAAAAACAAAGGACTTTCCTCACTGGACCAGGCTGGGTGCTTTCCCTGGCTAAAGGAATGCAGTTCTTATCTCCCCAGGGTAGGGAAGGAGGGAAGAGGATTTGCAAAGGCTGCTTTCAGAGGTTCAGTATTCACAGCTGCTGTTCTGGGCTGTTAAAGGAACATCAATGTGATCCCAACAGTAAGCTGAAAGGCAGAGAGTAATGATGCCATTAGCCAATGAGCAAACCACTAAGTGGGGCACCTCAAAAATTCCTGTTCAGAGCCAGGGAAAGCTTGGATGAAAATGTCAGATGAGCAGGGCTTGGAGTAGGCTATTCAGAAAGTTCTGAAAGCAGAGGGAAGATAGGTCCCAGAGACTAGGCGGGGAGGGAGGACAGGAAATAAAGAGCACACAGAATTCTAAGCCAGCCTCAGAAAGGTACTCAGGCCCTCTGTACCCATCTAGTGTCAACTGAAAAAAAAAAAAAAAAAACCTCAAGTCAGTATTATGTACAGTGGGACTCAGGGAGCTCTATTAATGGGGGCTTCCTGTCTTCAAATTCATCTGTGCCTCTGATACATAAAAAGGGTATGAGGGAAGAACAAACAAGCTCTCAGTTTAAGTAAAATTCCATCCCTTTCCATTGCCTCCCTAAACAATTAATGGTGCTTTTCCTGAATCAACTGTATTTGCATAGTCAAAACCCTGCAGGTAATGAACTTGGTCCTTTCACCTCTCACATAGATCCCACAGCTTGGGAAAGGTTCTGACAGCCCTTTGGAGACCAAAAGACCTCATTTGCAGACCACAGTAGCCTGTAGGAGGAATGCTGGTCCCAGAGGCAGGGGACACTGCCTGGTAACCTACACTTCAGGCAATCACTTTTCTGAGGATATCTTTGGTTTTCGTTTTACCAAAAATGGTTAAGAAGAGAGAGGATTCTCAGAGATTCTTACAGTAGGGACCAAGGGGGGCAGTCTCCCAGAAACAAGAGGGGAACCCAGGGCCTCGGGGGAGGGAGACAGACTGGTGGATGTTTCTGTGGGCAGGAGTCCTTCTCTCCTCCAACTCCTGTCCTTTTAACCCCTAACTTCTTAGTATGGGCTTCCTCTAGAATCCTTTTAAAAAATTTCTAATTCAACTTTTTACAGAAATCTATAATATCTTGTCAATCCATTTTTGGGGGGGCCAGGGGGTACCATTGACCGGTACTTGAACACTTGAGCCACATCCCCAGCCCTATTTTGTATTTTTATTTTTAGAAACAGAGTCTCCCTGAGTTGCTTAGCACCTCGCTTTTGCTGAGACTGGCTTTGAACTCCTCATCCTCCTGCCTCAGCCTCCCTAGCCGCTGGGATTAGAGGCGTGTACCACGTGCCCAGCAGTTGCCAATGCATTTATGTTTCAGATTTCTTCTTTCTTGCCCTCTTTAAACTTATTTGGCAATTTTTGAATTATGCTTTTAAGAAGTAGCCCCCAAGAACAAATTACTTCTATAAATGGACACTGCCTCCTCCAGCTCCAGCCGTACCAATAAAAAAATATTCCTAAGCATGCAAATGTGGCTTGAAGCTAAATTGAAGGGAGATCTTTGTATACAAATGGTTCCTTAGTGATAACAACATTCCAAGATTATCATTTGTACTGCATTCAAAATTACCCAAAGATCACATTCCACTTCCTTCTCAGTGGGTGCTGGGGAAGGCTAGATTATCTGTCTATGGCATGTTCCAGTTGTTATAAGAAGAGAGCAGGTGGGAAGGAATGACAAGGCAGGAGTTTGTTCATTAAGGAATTCCAAAAGTGACCAGCTGACACTTCCTGGTGACAAGTGGAAATTTTTTCCTGACAGGTGCTCTAGCATACAAAGCAAGCATACCCTGGACTCAGCTTAGGAATAATTCTGTTCTCTCTTAGAAAAAGAGGACAAAAACGGGAAAGAACACTATGAAAAACAGGGAATTCAGCTTCCTAGTTTTAGGTGGTTAGTTTCCCTTTCTGTGAAAGCTCAAAAGAGGTCTTGTTACGAGAATGAGTCCATTCCTAAGTCTTAGACAAAGTCCATTTCTCCTTTTCCATAACCAATGAACTGAGGGTAAGGAGCACCACCATTTCAGAGAATTCATTCTATTCTCTGAAACCTTTGCCGCCTACAGAGTAGCACATTGCTAAAAAGGAAATAATTACCAAAGGATATCAACACCTGACAAGAACACAATGGGTATGTGTAGGTCCAGTACCTCAGACTGAGAGAAAGAGTATCCAGTAGCTAAATACTTAACACATTTATATTAAGCCTCTTGCCTGGACTCTCTTTGTTTAGAATATATGCACTTACATAACTTACAGAACAGCAGACAAGTAAGCCTGTCCAAATATATTGCTCTCTATTTTCCAAGCATGAGTTAAGATTTTAAAAGCATTGGCTAATATAGGTGACCACCTATTATTCTCTGATCTTTTTTCTTTGCTCCTGGAGGTAAGTCTAAAATTCAGGATCTAAGGAAAACTATCTCTCCCACATCTATCCACACTCATCCAACCTTTACCACAGGTTCTTAGAGCAGCAGTTTCTAGAAAAGTTGGGTTAAGAACACTCATCAAGGGGCTAGGGTTGTGGCTCAGTGGTAGAGCGCTTGCCTGGCATGTGTGAGGCACTGGGTTTGATTCTTGGCACCACATATAAAAAATAAATAAAGGTCCATCAATAAC